GGCAATGCCTGGAACACAGCAGATGTTCAATAAATATTTGTCGAATGAGTGAATTAAGTTATAAGCAATGCCATCCTCAGTGCAAGCACAAATGAAGACTCAATATGAGCTATGGGAATGGGGAGGAGGGAGGAAGTAGCATTTATAACACAAAAGCAAAAGGTCCCCAGGCTGGTAGGACGCCTCTGGTCTCACACAAGAAGGCTGCCCAAAATGGCTGGGATCGGGGGACCTGGATAAGTTCACCACAGTGGAAAGAGGTAAGTGTTTTTAGAAGGAGCAAATTAAAATATTTCACACAATCTTTTAAAAATCATCTTAAATATTTGCATTTTCTGCATGTTTGTGCTCTGGAGCAAAGCCCAGGGATGTTTTTTTCAATCCCTCCCATCCTTCAAGGCACGTCTCAAGCATCTACCTCCACAGCTGCTTCTCCTGAATCTCTCATTTATTCCAGTACAAAGTTCTTTTCAACAAATATTTGTGTTCCCTCCTTCCTTTGAATCCCCATAGCTCTTTGCACCCTTCTTGCTCACTCACCCTACCTGAAGTTCACCTCATATGACAGCTGTCTGTCCTTATCTAATCCTCCCCTCTGATGGCAAGCTCTGTGAGAGCAGCATCTCTTTGTGTCCCATACCGAAAACCATCACTTAGGTACTAAATATCTGTTTAATTGGACTGAATACTCCAATCATTTGATTAGCATCAGATTACTTTCTTAGGCAAGGGAGGCAATGCTGAATAAACGGTTTATAGACCCTCGTGGCCATTTTAAAATAGCTCCTCTTCCAGAAACCGTCGTCTCTACATAGAAGTTGTGATTCAATTCTAAAATAGAAAAACAATATTTGTTTCCTAAAAAACTTTTACCAACTCGACAGATACAGAGAGATTATTTTTAGTTGACCAAGTTTATCAAAACCATTCCTAATTTCAGGAAGGAAGGCAGAACTAATTTTGAAATTCCATCTCTTTGATTATTGCTATGAAAATATATGTAATCGATATTTCACACTAGTGAATATTTATAAAAGATATTTTGCCCTGTGTGGATATGCCCCAAATTAATATTATTTTATATGGACAACGCAAGCTTTTTTAAAAAAAATCAATTTAGACTTTTCTTTGTTAGTTTCATAGTACCTGTTTCAATAGTTTCAGTGTAAAGCTTTCCAGTATTTTTCTCAATCTCCTATTAGTATGGGTATTTCAGGAAAGATCATGGTTTTCCTTCTGTTTCTACGTGGCATGGCAGAAGCAGCCATGTCAATTGTATGGTATCTGTGTGAGCTGGATTCTAATTTTGACTTTGGCAATAAATAAATGAGTGATCTGGAACAAGTCACATTCGGTCTCAACTTCCTTATCTGAATCTGCATTATGGGGGAATTAGGCATCAGGATTTGCCATCAGCAGTTCAGGATTTCCTGTCCCCTCCTCACTTGCAAAGGCCCATGGCTGAGGCTCCTTGGTTCATTTCCTTTCTCCCCCTGTGCAGCTGCACCCAACCACTCTCAAAAGAACCAGGCCCAGGTGTCTGGAGGCTGAGTGATGATCCATCCAGGACAGGAAGCCTGTGTTGCCATGCTTGGGGTGAGCATGTGGGGAGAGGGTGTGAGGTGAAGAGACTTAAGCATGGGCAGAGGCAAAGGCTGGAGAAGAAGTTGCAGGAAGAATGGATCCTGCCTGCCCAGCATCCTGGGGCAGAGGGGAAGAGAAGACAAGGGAGTAAGGACAGAAGGAACTCCCTGGCCTAGGAGACCAGTGCTCAGGTTGGCAGGGTTCCAAGTCCTGGAGTTGTCACTAGGAAGTTTGGGTCTGTAGACAATGCTCCCTCCCTCGCAATCCCCACAAACTCCAGGATAGACTTCTAGCAGCCTCATTAAGGGCCTCCTTCACACTATAGGGTTAGTCAATTTCATGAGAGGATTAGATCTCCGGCGATGAAAAAGCATGACACCTTGTGAGTCTAAAGTGGGAACAGGCCCCCTCTCCACCCTTTGCCCACCAGGGGAAGGTCCTGTGAATAAAGGAAACCCTTGGGATCTTCCTTCTCTTTCCCAGTTGGAATTCATGTAAGCCCACCTGTATTCCATTGGATTCTGTCCCTTGAGGGTTTACCTCTGCTTCTGGGCTCCACGCTTCCCAGTACCCTCTCTCTTCTTCAAGATTGCATCCTAAGAATCCTTCCTCTAATCAAGACTGGACCTCAGGAATGCAGAGCTAAATGCTTCCACTCCTTTCTTTCAGCCTTGTTGCAACATTCTTTTAAGTTGAAGGAGGACAGAGTTATAGGGAGGAAGCCAATAGTAGATACAGCTTATGCTTCTTTCTGATTTTGCTTGGGACAGGCTGTGCCTCCCAACAGACAGACTTTTTTTAACAGACTGAAATAAAGAAGCCAACAAATAAACAGTGCAGGTGGCACTTGGCGGCATGGAATTTGTCACGTATTTTAAGGGAACACTGTGCTGCTCCATTTCTTCTTAAAACTCAGCTGCCTCAAGTCTTGCTTTTCAGCTTTGGCCAATAGCTATGTGATCTGGACCTGTATATCACGTCTGCTTGTCTTGTCTAGTATTTATTTTTAAACCTTCCTGACAAGGCAGGTATGCTAATATTTCCTGAAATATTCTTACCCCACTGCTGCCCATAATTAGGCTTTTTTTTCTTTTAAAGAGAAAATTGTTTAAAGTATATTTCTAGTATCTCAAATGACTATTAAAGAAATCTAACTTCTTTGCCCTCTCTGCCTATCAATGCAGATCCTACTCCTGCTTCTACAGGACATTATTTTATTTAGAGCTGGGGTGTTGTTGAGGATGTTAACCCCTATATCACTTTATCCTCACTTTGCAAAAACCTGCAGAAAAATGTCTCAGACCTAAGTGCAGGAAATCTTTTGCTTCTCCTCTTTAAGCAGTGCGTTTTCACAGATGAGAATGTTATTCTTGTAATGACAATGTTTGGCCCAGCTCAACTACAGATATTGTGTAAACCCCCCACAGCATGCCTCCTGGGTACCAATTTTCATACTGGTCTCATCTGATCACTCTGTGTGTGTGTGCGTGTGTACGGGGGTGGGAGGTTGATTTCTCCTAATTTTCAGGAAAGATTTTTCTCCAATTTGTTTATATTTCAGGCTATTTTTTTAACTCTTTATTTTGAATGAATTTTAGGTTTGCAGAAAAGTTGCCAACATAGAACAGAGAGTTTCTGTGCACCCTTCATCCAATCTCCCTTTACTTTTACTTCTATTCTCTTGAATATATTTGTGAAGGTCACCCGAAATTCTTGTTGGCACAAGGCCCACAGGTGTGTCACTAATTTGGCCACCCAGAGGTTGTGTGCCGCAGAGCAGATGGGTTGGAAATGACTGATGCAGACATCTCTGGCAGCTTTGACATGGAAGGATGCCGAGCTTAAAAATGAACTGCACCTCCTAATAACTTGCTCAAAACTGATCTGGCCACAAGCAACTAGGAACTGAAAAAGATGATCCAAAGAAAACTGGCCGATAGAACAATCTGGTTAAAATTCTGAATTTGTAGAAACTGCTGTTAAAATATTAATAATTAGTATTAATCACAGGGTAGTTTCATAACCCTTTATGTGGCTTTAAGCATTTGTGTCCACATATCACTTTTTTCCCACTATCTGGATGTAAAATAATTCTTAATTTGTTTTTGGCCAATAGAATACTAGTTAAAACAGCGTCGAGGTCCAACAGTTTGTGGCCTTCTTATACAGAGGTTACATCAGAGGTTATAAAACATTGTTATAGCACGATCCTATTTTCAGGGGTTAGATGTGTGTGTGTATCCTGGAAGGAAATAACTCAAGGTTTCAAGGTGTCAACTGGATAGGTAAATTTATGAGTGTTCATAATATCCCATTTTTGCATGGCTATATTTTCTAATTTTTTTCTATTGAGTAACATTGCTTTTACACTAAGAGAAAATTAACAAAAGAAGTTAAATAATAAAATAAAGCATAAAAGAAAATATATGAAAATTCTGTTTTAATGAATCCCTTTATTAATGGATATTTATGCTGTTTTAACCAATCTACTTTTCTTGGTCTTTCAGGTTGTTCCATTTGAAGCAAAGAGTATAAGTAATCAGGAAAAAAAAAAAAGGAACCAATTTTAACAAGCAGACAAAAATGCTTAAGATACATAGCTACAAAGCCACCTCATGGTATATATACCAAAATTACCAACACTAAAAGAAGCAGTGATTGTGGTTACTCATTTTCATGTAGGTATTATTTTACCAATTTTCCTATTGACCAAATTACTTTTAAACTAAATACCTATAAACACTTCATATTTGGTCAAATTATATTTGGCAAAATTTCATTTTGCCAAATTGTTTTCAGTCAAATTACCTGCTGTAGTTCGTGAAATTTGAAAGATCTTGCATTTCTAGTTAGGGCTTGATGTGCTGATAATTCACAAGAGTCCCGAAATGTGAAGCAAAAAGGATGCTTTCACCAGTTCTGGAGCCAGTTCAGTCCACCTTCTGGAATGGGTTCACCATTCAATATAACGGGTCACTCAAGTTTTTCAGGGATGAGCAAGAGTTACATTCCATAGTGAGGAATAAACGCTCACAGATAGGTGACTCTGGTAGGATTTTGGTCAAATGGCAACTGGAACAAGAATAAGCTGTTCCCCCTTTCATTACTTTAGGTGACCAGTTAGGCCATAATGAGCCTGGGGACTGTGCTGGCTGTAAGTGAGTGAGACTTTCTGCCTGGTTCTAGTGCAAGAAAAGAGTGTTCTATGATCTCACTAAAGTGACACTGAAACTTTGCAGTAAAAAAATTTCATCCTAAGGGGCCGAGTGGTTAAGTTTGTACGCTCCTCTTCGGTGACCCAGGGTTTCGCCGGTTCGGATCCTGGGCGCGGACATGGCACTGCTCATCAGGCCACGTTGAGGTGATGTCCCACATGCCACAACTAGAAGGACCCACAACTAAAATATACAACTATATACTGAGGGGATTCGGGGAGAAAAAAGCAGGAAACAAAAAAGATTGGCAACAGTTGTTAGCTCAGGTGCCAACCTTTAAAAAAAAACAAACAAAAACCAACTTCACCCCTCAAGATGTTGAGTTTCCAGGGAAGTTGTCACAAAGCCAAAATGAATGATAGAGGCTTCTAGTGGATATTATCCTCATGTTCACAGCATCTTGTCTTTTGTACACAGTGGGGGCGGCGGGGTGGGGGGAAAGGCTTAGGGCTCAGTCTCCTAAATGGTTGGTAACCAAAGGTGCCTTGAAGAAGAGAATTGGGAGTCTTTTTGTTTCTCATAAGAAGTCTTTTTGAGCCACACTGCCATTCCTAAAACCCCGCACATCCTGATGCCAGGATTTCAGGATCCTTTCACTTCTGGTGTCATCACATTCTACTTGCCCTAGCATAGTCTTAAGAGAATTTACTTAAAAACAAAATCCCCAACAAAAACTCACCTGCATAGACGTAGCAGATTTGTGAATTGGAAAACAGCCCTGGAAACTAGGTTTCTACCCTGACTGAGCAGCCCTCTTCCGGAGTGGGCTGGAACAAATCACTGATTGCTTTGCTCCTTAGTTTCTCCATCGATCTATTCATCCATCCTTCTGACAGATAATCATTAAGCACTAGGACCCTGTGGACACAAAAATAAGTAGAACCTGGTTTCTTTGTCAAGATACTTGGAATTTAGGGGAAAAGACAAACAAAAATCAAAGACTATAATCCAGTGTGGTAAATATTATGTTGGAAGTATGCAGAGATGCTAAGGGAGCAAAGAGAAGGAACATGAAATCACAATTTGAGATGGGGAGGAGAGTCAGGGACCACTTCAAAGAAGAGCTGATGTCTTCTTGGAAGCTTGAACTCTATGAAATAAGAGGGGTGCATTAATTGATCTAAAAGAACAGTCCTATATCTATATTCTTGTGTTAATTGAAGAAATGCTCACTTGAGCTCCCCATATAGGGAGATTTCCAGAGCTGCAAGAAAGAAGCAAAAGATATGGGCAAATCTGCCCAATTTATCCATGATTGCTTATACCCTAAAGAGTAGTCTAGGTCTTAAGACCTCCTACCTAATGTGCTCCAAGAACTGAATCTTGGTTGCTGGGATCTTCCTGTCACTTAATGCGTTTACCGCTAGTCATTTGAAGGGTATCTGGCCTTCATGAAAAGGCTCACCCCTCTACAGCTCTTCCCTCTCAACAGCTCCTTCCTCTGAACATTTCCTTGTAATAAACTGTGTAGTCTTTTTACTTTAGGTTGAATCATTCAAGTGTTATAATATTCACAGAGAAGCAACCACCAAAATTTGTCTCCATTTATGGTACATGTAACCCAAAGTTAGTTTTTCATTAAATATCTCTAGTTACCATTTGATTGTATTTTAAAACAATATCTCATTTTTCTAAAAGCGACTTGCTCCAAATCTGAAATAACTATAGACACAGTTGCAAATCTATAAAAATTGTTTAAAAAATCATAAGCAGACAATTTCAATTTCTAGCATATATTGTTGGTTCCCTTCCAAATGTCTACTTTTTACTCTTCTTATTCTTAAGAGGATTCCAGTTTGGTCCAGGATGCTAATTAGTCCAAGTCAATCATGAGAATTCTATCCCCAGTCAGTGGTTGGTTTAGGAAATGGCAATTCTGGGCCCTGAGGACAAGTCAGCTGGGGAACCCCTGGGAAAGGTTTCTTTCTCCTTATCTGATAAGGGGTTAATATCCAAAATATGTAAAGAACTCATACATCTCAACAACAACAAAACTAACAACCCAACTAAAAAATGGGCAAAAGATCTGAAAAGACTTTCTCCAAAGAAGATATACAGATGGCTAACAGGCACATGAAAAGATGTTCAACATCACTAATTATTAGGGAAATGCAATCAAACTACAATGAGATATCACCTCACTCCCGTCAGAATGGCTATAATTAACAAGACAGGAAACAATAAATGTTGGAGCAGATGTGGAGAAAAGGGAACCCTCATACACTGCTGGTGGGAGTGCAAACTGGTACAGCGCTATGGAAAACAGTATGGAGATTCTTCAAAAAATTAAGAATAGATCTACCATATGATCCAGCTATTCCACCGCTGGGTATTTATCCAAAGAACATGAAAACACAAATGCATAAAGATATATGCACCCCTATGTTCACTGCATTATTCACAATAGCCAAGACTTGGAAGCTACCTACGTGCCCATCAAGGGACAAATGGATAAAGAAGATGTGGTATATATACACAATGGAATACTACTCAGCTATAAAAAAGGATGAAATTTGGCCATTTGTGACAACATGGATGGACCTTGAGGGCATTATGCTAAGTGAAATAAGCCAAAGGGAGAAAGTCAAATACCAAATCATCTCACTCATAAATAGAAGATAAAAACAGCAACAAACACACACACGGAGACAGAAATTGGATTGGTGGTTACCAGAGGGAAAGGGAGAAGGGAGGACAGTAAAAGGGGTGATTAGGCACTTGTGTATGGTGATGGGTTGTAATTAGTCTTTGGGTGGTGAATGTGCTGTAATTTACACAGAAATCGGAATATAACAATGTACACCTGAAATTTGTATAATGTTACTACAATAAAAAAATAAAAGGTTTCCGTCTCCTAAAAGAGACACAGAAGGAGATGTTCTCCCTCCTTGCTTGGAACATTGCTTGTCAGCATGTGCTTCTGGAACCACTGCAGACATATTGTCACCAGTTGGAGGATGAAGCCAAGCATGAAAGGCAGAGGTGGTAGAATTACCAGGAGTAAAATGGGGCCTGAAGTATGGTACCTGGACTCCATCCTCCTTGGAGCCTCTTTGTTCCATGAGACAATAAATTGCCTTGTTGTTTAAGCCATGATGAGTCAGGATTTTCAATTATTTGCAGCCAAAAGCATCCTAACTAACAGCCAAGTACACACTGAAGTTTATGCACTCCATTCATAGAACATGACGTCAGGAATTTAGTTCTAGGAAATAGGGTTATCTGATTTCCCCAGTTCTAGGAACAGGCTCAGCTGATTTCCCAGTTCATGGCAGATTAGAAACAGCACATTAGAAGTGGAGAAAGGGACTGTTAGAGATAGACAGCCAGACAGGGAAGGAAGAGACCTCAAGGCAGAAACAAGAATTCGGACATATCAGTGTGGGATTATTTAACGTTGAGACAAACAAGTCCTCCCACTTCCGTCGCCCTTGTGGGTATCAGAGTACATCTCAATGACTAATCCACAGTGACAGCCACGTGGCATCAAGGGAAGTTTGCTTTCTGTTTAGTGTATTCTGTTTTAGAAGGGGAATGAGTCCGACTGATATTTAAAAATATTTCTTGGTAAATAAGGAAAAGGTTAAATGATTAAAGGGATAAGCTATTTCAAAAGGCACATAGAGAACAAACTCACTCCCTTGCAATGCTCAATAAATGAGAGCTGTACATATACGCAAATAGAATCTGGTAGAAGGTTGCTTCATCCAGAGAAAAGGAAGCCGGAAAAAATGAGGCAGTATTTTGATTGCTACATAGAGCAGCTTATTTCAGTTTTGGTTCCCCTGAGAAGCCCCAGCAGAGGAGAAGCAGAGCTGGCGGATAAGGACTTGGTGCAAGTTACTTTAGTTTGGTTCAATAGCTCAGCAAGCCTGGCTAAGCTGTTTCCTCAGAAGCCTGCCTGTAGGAAGTAAATAAGCTGCTTGCCTCGCTTCCTAAAGGGGGTTGAGCACTTGTAATTAAAATGTAAATAATTCTCAGGGCCAACAGCTTGTAGACAAAAATGACTGGAAAGATCGCAGACACTAAAATTGCACCACGGAAAACAGGTTCTAAGTCTTTGTCCACACAAACGCTAAACCCACCAGTTGATTTAGTCACCTGGGTGAGAAATCACTCAAACGAAGTTATTTGCAACCATGCACAGGAAATCAGCTGGTTACAATACTCTGCTGACGACAGGGACTAACACTGAGGGTGGTTTGTTTACCAGGTTCCCAGGGCTTGGACAACTCAGAACACAGGTGTTGAGATGAAGACAGGTGTTGAGATGAACTCAGGGCTTTTCTGCAGTCAGCTGGTGAAATCTGTGGTCCCACAGACCTCCCACTCTTGGATTGGGAGAGCTGCTCCAGGCTGCACAGCTGCAGGCTCAGCTCAGTACTCCAGAAGCCCAGCTAAGTCCTGCTGAGGCTCAGAAGTGAAGATGAGCTGTCTGTACAGGCATCCATCCATCAGGCTGTTACTTTGGTTTTAAAATAACTCTTCATTTGAAGAGTACCCTGAAAAATAAATAAATAAATAGCTAAATAAAATGAGAGAAAACCAAATACCTTTACTGTCTAATTACCATCAAATGTGAATGTGCCTTATACATAGTAGGTACTTGTAATATTTTAAATAATAATAAGTAATTTATTAACCTGAATACTATATGAAGGAAATATATAAAGAATAAAAGAATTTTATTAAGAATGAAACTTAAGACTATTTAGATTACTGGTTTTCAACGGCACTTTTTCCCCTTCACACTAGTGTATTGTCATCCATACAGAGATTGTTACTGGTTAAGTTTATAATTATTATTAATAGCCAACATTTTGGCATTGTGCTAAATATTCTACATTCATTATTTCATTTTATTATCACAACAGCCTGTGTAGAATTATTAAGCCCATTTTACATATGGAGAAAATGAAACTTTGAGATGTAAAGTACTTTGCCTGAGAACGTAGATTGGGGAAATGGTCAGATTACCAGCCAAACGTGGGTTCATGCCAACGCCAAAGCCCTCACCACCTCATCGTTACTGACAAGAGTTGTCCTGAAGTTTTCCAAGGTTTCCTCTAGTTCTTTAAATAAAGGGGACTCAAGAATCTCTCACTTGCATTCTAACATGTTTCTAGGGAGAGAGGATCAGCTAACATGTGGGAAATGGTGAGCATTATGTACGCAGGAAGTCTCTCATGTGTGTGTTACAGTAGAGAAGAGATTGAGACCTGATTTTAGACTTACTTCTTCAGCTGACTCTATTTATTGAAACTGAGTTTAGCCCAACACTGCAGTATTCTCCAATTCAAAGTTCTAAATAATCTTTACTCTAGTTTTTTCATTCTCCTGAAATGCTTGCTTGATTTTTAAGGTTCATTAAAAAAAAAAACAAAACTGATTTAAAGTTTTCTCATACTCTACATTCATTCATATTTTAGACTTATGCATTCGGCTAGTTACCATTCATTGCCCTCATAATGTCTAAACAATAGCAAGTCTACAGCAGAAGGCGGTGGCACCAGTGGCTTGTTAGCACAGTCTGTCTTGGAAGGCCCCACTTTCCTTCTTGATTACTCGGTTTGGATTAATTTAGCTGATCTCAGGGTGGGTCCTATCTTTGTGGGTACTGCCTTTCGGATATATCAGCTAGTTCAGGCACCTATATTTTAGAGTACTATCTTTCAATATTAATTTAAATATGTATTATAATTTAAATATATATGGCTTTTGTAAAATATGCATGTTACAAAATACATGCTCACTATTTCAGCTATACAAGCTCACTGGAAAAAAAGTATTAAATGACAAGAAATATATGAAAATTTTAAGAAATTTTACTGCCTAAGATAATTATTTTTTAAAATTTAGTGTGTTACCTTTCACATTTTGGAGTTGACTCTCTTTTGTGAAAGTTCCCGACTCTGTTCCACTCCCTGACTTTGGAGGGGTCCCCTCTTTCCTTCACTTTTTATTGGCCCTGTTGTGCTCAATTTGATTCCACTTCTAGCAGTTTCTCCTCTGGGTGGGGCCTTGTCTTGGAAGGCAGCTGCTGTCCCCTGTTCTGTGGATCTCCTGGTCTTGCACCCTTCAGACACCCAGCTGCCTCTCCTCTGCATCCATTAACAGAAACTGTGGTTTGCCATCACCTGCTGTCACTTCACGGTCTGTGGGCATATCCTGTACCCAGTTTGGCTGCATACGTTGTTCACGGGTTTTGGTTTTTGTATTTAGTTTTTCTGTCTGTTTTTACATAGAAATATAGAAAGATTCAAAAGCCATGTGACTATTACTTCTGTCTTCCCAGAATCTCCCTCTACGCTCAGGCTTCCTATTTTGAATGAGTTAAAGCTAGCTAGAGAACAAGATCAATGTCAACCTTAATTGGCCCCAGATAAGAAATAATGTTTTTGGGGGGTTGGCCCAGTGGCACAGCGGTTAAGTTCGCAGGTTCCACTTTGGCAGCCCTGGGGGTTTGGTGGCCCTGGGGGTTAGCTGGTCCAGATCCCTGGTGCGGACATGGCACCGCTTGGCAAGCCCTGCTGTGGTAGGCGTCCCACATATAAAGTAGAGGAAGATGGGCACAGCTGTTAGCTCAGGGCCAGTCTTCCTCAGCAAAAAGAAGAGGAGGCTTGGCGGCAGATGTTAGCTCAGGGCTAATCTTCCTCAAAAAAAAAAAGAAAAGAAAAGAAATAATGTTCTACATACACTGTTTTTCAATCCTGGCTTCACATCAGCAGCACCTCAGGAGCTGTAAAAATGCTGATGCCAGGGTCCCATCCCCAGGAGACTCTGAGTTAATTAGTCTGGGCTGGTGTGCTCCCTAGGTGGTTCCAATGTATAGCCAAGGTGACAACCAGTAACAAGAAGAAAAAAAATGATAAAGCATTCTGAAGTCCTTAGCAATCTGCTGAGACTAAACTAGTTACTCTCTGCTCAGTTTCCTCATGAGTGTAGTCCCCTCCTCATTCATTATCTTGTACGGCTCAGGTGAGGCTGACCCAGTCCCAGAGACTGGAGTGGTCAAGTGACACAGGTGTGGCCAATCAAGGTGCTCCATTCCTGTCCAGGGATAAAGACAAGACCCAGGCCAAACCAATGACAAATTTCCCCATGATATTTGCTAGAGTTATCATGAAAGTCACTCTCTTCTCACAGAAATTGTAAGCTGCAAGATCAAGGTAAACTTTGAACTTTCTTTTGCCGTCTTTACTCCAAAATGAGAAAAATCTGCCTGAGAATGAAGCACAGAAAGAAAAGCATTGTTGAGAGATGGAAAGAGTAGAAAGTATCCTGATAACACTATTGATGGAGTTTTTCGGGGTCTGAAATATAATACCCTCTTTGTCTAAATTCAGAATAAATTGAGAGGTAGATGCAGAGGTTGGGTAAATGGAGATGAAATAGTTTTATTACTGATAAGCTGACTGAGCTCATGGCTTTGGATTGCTGCCCGAAAGAACTTTCTAACCTTCTACTCCTTAGTTAATTTGATTTACAACCAGCCACTGGCATGGCTGGAATCTTTAGACTTTGCCCTCGTTTGCAGAGTGCTTAGCACAAGGTAGGAGGGCGGACTGGAAGACAGATGATCTGATCAGACAAAACGAAGGGCCCTGGAGGAGCTGAACCATGCCCACATGCCCAATCGTTTTCCCAGTTCACCAGCTGGATAACTCTCTCCCAGGCCATGGCTCATGGTTTGGTGACCTGAGTTTCTGCTAGAGTTTAGCCCCCACTGTCCTCCTCTGCACCCATGTACCTACAGACCCAGATCACGCCTCCTACCCTTGGGAGGAATGAATGAGGACAGGGACGGTGCTAGAGTTCTTCTCATGCTTGTTCACCCCGAGAGATTTACAATTAGCTGAGCCCCTGGGTCTAGCTACATATGAAGCCACTTGCACTCCTGAATTTCCCAATTGTGACCAAATAAATTCTCTTTCTTTGTTTTGGCCAGTTGACTTAGGTTTTTGTCATTTACAAACCCAAAGTTTTGATTATCACATTAGCTGATTTTCTTATGCTTAATAAAATTAATTTCAAGAAACACGTGTTGAGTGGCTTTAGGGAAATACCACCTTTTCTAGTGCTGTAACTGGGCCTCCTTTGAGTGCACATTATACTTATTATTGGATCTGGATATGATCGTCCTTTTGGGATCTTCAGAATGTGGCCTTACCTCCAGGCTCTCCGAGTTCCCGTCACCGCTCCTTCACTCTCTCCCTTTTGGTCCGAGGTGGTAACAGTTTCACTATTACTGGCCCTCGCATACTGAACCATTCCTTGTTGTTCCTCTGTCCGCCCACACCTTTTGTAAACAGTCCTTTCATTAATCCTCCTTGAGTTATTCTCCTTGTTCTTTGACTAGCATCTTTTCCCATTGGCCTCTTGACTGGCAGCAGATCTGTCATTGTTACATTGACACAGGCATAGCTTCACAGGCGCTAAAATGTTCTCAGGACAGCTGACACAGTCACTTTTAAATGTATCTACTATACAAAGGTCAAAACCTCTTAATCTTTTGCCCAAGAGGAACGTTCTTCTCCCCCTGTCCCCAACAAGTATGTTTGGCTATCTATTTAAGAGAAATCAATTTTTCCAAAAAAACGTTACCCCTCCTTTTTTTTCCCCCGATCAGATGAACAAGAACAATAAAATATACAAACATGCAGTAGGAAGAAGTGTTTGCTCATCTCAGAATCCTCCAAGCGGTGGGAAGACATTAGAAAATTTACTTAGTCAATTGAAACTGTAAACATTGCTTTAAAGTATAACATTAAAAAGGAGCTTGAGAATAAAGTGTTATTTTGGGGGAGAGGTAACATGCTCTGGTTTTTCATGCACTAGTCTCAGATGAGTGTACTGTTTCTTCCTACTCTTTCCCCTCTTTTTTCCCTTTAACCAAGGGAGAAAGAATCTAAAATGCTATTTCTTATTTCCATTTTTTCCTCATTACTATCTACTAACTTCATCTGATATTAAAAGAGCACTAGACATAATTAAAGTTGCTTTTTGGAGGGGTGTTTTAAATGGTACTGATGTGCTGCTGAGGGTCTTTTAGCTCCATGGTATAAACAATGAGTCAATAGCTTTCACTATGCTCCAAAATAAACAATGAGAAAACAGTGGGAAAAAAAGACATCTTGTGCACAATATTTATGAGGAGCCTTAACAAGAAATGTACATGACCTATATAAGGACAATTATGTAACTTTATTCAGTATATAAAGAAGACAAATGATAAAGATGAAAGTTAGTTTTTCTGGGGCCGGTACAGTGGCGTAGTGGTTAAGTTTGTGCACTCTGCTTTGGCAGCGTGCGGTTCACAGCTTTGGATGCTGGGCACGGACCTATACAACACTCGTCAGGCCATGCTGTGGCAGTGTCTTTCATATAAAATGGAGGAAGACTGGCACACATGTTAGCTCAGGGCCAATCTTCCTCAGCGACAAAAAAAAAAAAAAATTAGCATTTCTGTGTCCTTCGTGCTAGGCACTGTACTCCAGGCTTT